TAAGATGTTTATAAGCATTTGTAAGGTCCCCTCTCAACCTTCTCTTCTTCAGGCTGAACAAGCCCAGCTCCCTCAGCCTTACCTCATAGGAGAGATGCTCCAGTCCCCTCATCATCCTCATAGCCCTCCGCTGGACTGGACTCTCTCCAGTAGCTCCTCATCTTTCTTGAACTGGGGAGCACAGAACTGGACACAGTACTCCAGATGTTTCCTGTAGCTGAGAACTCAAACTGAAGGTGTATTTCTTTCCTTGAGATGTTTTATCTGGTACTCTGAATCCACTCTTGCAATGTCAAAACGACTGTCTCACTTAATTCCTGATGCACTGTCTTTATATTTCTTTTTCTATTGATTCTCTTTTTTGGTAGGCTCTTCACTGGGGAAATGAATAAATTAAAAGATAAATGAAGGTGTCTCTATGACCAGTATAATCTTTTGCCTGGCTTTTTTTGGCTAGTGAAATGTTTCAGTTTCCAGGATTACAGAGGAAACTAATTCCAAGGGCATCGTCGCACATTTCACAGAGAAGCTCTGGATTGAGGATGACTCTCCTTCACTGGGTAGCAGAAGTCATAGATTGAGAGAAACAACTGAGGTTATGTTCGAATGCGCATTACTCCAACATAGCCAAACACTGGTACAATCACCAAGGAAAAGAGGAGACAATGCAGACACAGTAATTTAAAAAAAAAATCTAAAAATATCTAAAAAGGAGAGATGTTATGTAATGAGATTAAAGTGAAATGAAAAAGCAGTGACTTAAAACTAGAAAAGGAGCTTTGAGAAGTCCCTCTCACTCACCTTGAAATGGTAAAGTACATAGTTAAACTGGAAATTGCTAGTGTTTTGCGTAAAATGCTGTTTCTGCTGTGTTTCACAGAGGCAGACGAGAAAAGACAAGGACTCTTCCTGCAGTATTTCTGACGGCTCAGGAAATGACAAGCTTCATCACTTCTTTTGGTGCCTTTGGATATACAAACTGTTTCAAAACTTTATAAAATGATAAATTTTTAAAATCTGGATAACAAAAAAGAGCGAGAGCATCGCGCTGTGCTTTTATTCAGAAGAATATAACAACATGTGACATTTTTTCAATTTATACTAATCAGATCTAATCTGTACATACATCTATATTTTCAGATAAATTTATGTAAAACAATTATATTTATAAGCACTTCTAAAGAGAAAGAAAAAATAATCAATGGTACAATTAAAATTCTCCAAACATATGCATTTTGTCTTAAAATTTTAGTAGACAGCAGATGAAGTAGAATCAACAGTGCAGTGTGAATTAAAACTAACATTTTCCTACAGGTCCTGTGCATCTCTTGTGTACAACTATATCACATGCATATCGACTTTGCCCTCCGAATGTCACCATGTGTTTGATGGAGTAGGCTCAGGGTACCTGAAAAATTGGGTACGTGCCAATAATAGCTTCTCTAGGGTAGGAACCATGACTTTTTTTAAAAAAAGGAGTAAAGCTTACCCTTTATATGTGGATGGTCAATGGACCCATCAGAAATGCTAACACTTTTCTTCCCCAAGGCAGAGTTCATTTGCTGCTCATTGTACTATCTGGAACAGCAAAGCTGCAATTAAATATATTTTTGTTTAAAAGAACAGTAGTACAAGCAAACAAAAATTCAAAGCTCTACCAAAACAAAATACTATGTGATTACCCACTTCTTCTGCTGTATGGAAGAAGAGGGAGCAGATGTAATTTAAGTGACCTAATGCAGTTAAATGTCCTCAGATATGTACTAGGGAGAGCATGTAAAAACTTACACAGAATGCAGCAGAATGAAGTCAAGAAGGAAGAGGCAGCAGCACCCATGCTGAATTTGCTTTTGTCCCTGATTTCCTGTAACGGTGGCACACAGAATAACTGCTGCGGGCTTGTGAGGTGCACTTTACCACAGGGTGTAAAGCCAGTGCAGTTTGCCGAGCTGTACCGCTAGATGGAGGCAGATATTGCATAGTTCACGCGTAGTAAGCGGGGTGAGGAGTGCCACGGCAGCCGTTTGCCCCAAAGGAGGGGGCAAGTGTGCGAATGGAAGCACAACAGGAGCTCGGCAAGAGGTAAGATGGTGCCGACAGGTCATCAGTGGCAACTTTGCCCTCTCTGAGGACAAAAATCATGGCTCCTACTGCATTTCACATGCTGTGGAGATGCTAGCTGAGCGCTGCTGCCTGTCAGAGATACCTTCTTCTAGACACAAGAGTACCTCACTCCCACCGTCTGCTGGCCCCGCTGCAGTACAGTCAGCTCCTGTGCTTGCTGGAAGCTGTCTCCCTGATGTGTCCCATTGTCAGGACAGTCTTCCTAGGAGTACACCTCCGGAGTTTTATCCCATTTGTATCGGTTCATACGGAAATTAAGTGTACACTAGAAAAAAGATCTGCTACTTTCAGTCAAGTATTTGTTCTCATACCTTCTTCATTTGTCAGTGCAGTGCCTCCTCCAGCATGGTGCATGGATTGTCACATGTGTCCTTAGGAATGGTTCTTTCTGCACAGTCTTTCCCTCTGAGGATGTCTGTCTGCTGCGTCTTTTTTCTCTTTAAGAAGCCCTAGCGAGTGACTTGAGCTCAATAAAGAGCATGGCATGTCTCTCTTTTGTACTAGGTTCCCTGTGGGGACTTTGGCAAGGAGAACAGGGTACGTGCTATGAACATTGCATCTTTCCAGGACCCCCCAGGTCAACCCAAGGTGGCCAAGCATCCACGGAGGCCGTGAAGCTCACTAGTATCATTCTTTATAGTCTTTAATGCAGTCTGGGATCTGACCCTCTATTCTGGGACTTCCTGTTTTTCTCGTACCTCAAGACATCTCTGCCCTCAGAATAATATCCACTTAGCGCTAGCTACTTCATCTATGAGTTTCATGTGGAAGAAATGTCCAGTAACTGATGGGAGTGTTTTCAAACTCCTGTCTTACCAGAGGTGAGAAACCTTTCTGAGGGGGAAGCACTTGAAGGAACCATGCTTCATACCCCATCCTTGACACTCTGGATGTCTCAGTCAGTGACTTATTTCAGCTATCCCATGACCTGACGCTGCTTCTTGCAGCAGATACTAGGTTAGATGGACTGGACTAACAGGAATTCTTTATGGAATAAACTGCTGTCCATCTGACAGATCAGGAGCGCTAACTCTTTCTCCTCCTCTCTTCAGCTGGCTGCTTCCTCTCCTTAAGGAGGAGGTAGCTGTAGGGCTGCTGTCTTGCCATCACTGGAGGCACTTCCAAAGCAAATACAGAGCAGTGGCGATCCCATGGATGGTGAAGATCCTTTTTCTGCTGCAGTACCTTGAAGGTAAAGTGTCAACTAGGAAGGGAGTGTTTAGAAGAGGTCAGAAAGAAAGCATGAAAAGGTAGTTTCCCAATGTGACAGAGAGGAATCAACTTTAATTCCTTACAAATTGTTTCACATCCCTTCCAGCTCCAGGGAGCCAGGAGAAGCAAACCCCAGAAATCAGCTGGTACCCAGAAACTTGACTAGGAATTTGGCCTACCTTGGCTTACGTATTAGTGTTTAGATGCTATCCTAGAAAACATACATATCCGGTGGCTGAGCAAGCAGGACATGCGTCTTCTGAGTACAGGTAGATTAAAACTGCCTCTCCTCCTTTCCACCCGGCCCTTGAATTGCAGAAGATGACACTACTTTCTTGTGTCCCACGTTGCCCATCTCTCAGGCGTCCTGCACCAAACCTGGGACTGGGCAAAACTTCTGCCTATTTATATGTGGAGTCAGAGCCCTTCCATCACCAGGCAGCAGCTCTTGAACTGGAAAAGACTTTTGGATAAAGGCTGGGAAATGCTGTCAGGCTTTTGAGAAACTAGACCTTTGTGCACATTTGGTAAATACATTGAGGTAGAAGTCTTATCTCCCCATCAGGGAGCATAAAAAACTCCTAATGGAGGAACCATTGGTCCCACAGGAGTTTACCCTGTTAAATATTCAAAAAATCTCCAGTGTTTGTAGACCAGTGCCTGTGAGCAAAGTAAGCTGTTCTCATCACATCCTTCTCAGCTTTTCCAAGGACTGAGCCCAGCAGGGGCTTTGAAGTTTCTCAGGTGATACTTTGCTCAGAGAACCAGGAAGGCATGGCCATTTTCTCTTGGGACAAAGACATGAATGCATTTTCCTGTGTCATTACAGTTCTTCAGTTATGGCAGGAAGACAGGCGTCCCACCCTGCAGCAGAGTGGCCCAAAATCCCAGGGCAACTGACCATCTCCAGCAACCAGGACAACATCCTAGTTTTTCTATGGTTGTGCCTGTCTGTGCTTGGTTTTGTTTCCTGGCAATGTGGGATTAGTCTTCCAAAGGAGGGAAGGAGAATTCCTGTTTGTTTTGTTTGCTTGTATGTTTGTTTGTTTTTTTAAATTTCAAAATACCTTAGAGGTGTTTGAATATCACAGAGGACAATGGGAATCCTAGTCCACTGCTTCTTAAACCTGCAAGCTGGGGAGGACATGAAGTTGAAGAACTGTTCCCTTTGGGAAAGCATCCCAGCCCATGCTGAAGGAAGCACAGTGGTGACATTCTCCTCTATATGTGAGCTGTATGGGAAGTATACTGTGATTCTGGGGAGGCAGCAGTAGGTACTGTGAAAGGCCAGGACATGCATGGGAATTGAAAGCAAGCCAGGAACAGGGTTTGTAACTCCAGCAGCAAATACACATAGGGACTTTAGGTATCTGTGCCTCTATTCAGAAAGATATTTGTCTGTCTGTCTATCACACGTGCAGGAGTTGTTTAATGGCCTAGTGAAATGCCAGAAGAAAAAAAAAATCAGACAACAGAGTATACAATTTTGAGGGTTTTTTAATTGTTGAGTGAAATTGTATAAAGTGCAAATAAATCAATATAAAATTTCAGAGAGAGAAAGTGCAGTCCAGGAGTTATAATTTTAGTTAGCAAGAGGATTAAAATTGTTTCAGAACACCAAAACAATCAGTTGTAAAATCTTTGGTCTTTTTGAAGCATGTTCTTCAAGAGTTTGATGACTTCTTCCCTGTGGGAAAGAAGCACAAAACATAGAGACTGTACTGGAAATGGACAATGCAGACAGCTATGCTTTATTCCTAGTGTTCCTGTAGCATGCCTTGAGGAAGGTGGTCCTTAAACAAAAGCAAACCTGTCAAAGCTTACCCCATGGTGTCAATTCTGGCTATGCCCCACTCCTACTGCTGAATAATTTCTGCCTTCACTGAACTGTCCCATTGACTTGGTAAGTGGCATAGTATCTCTCATTCTACTCTGCCAGTAGCCCCACTCACTGAAACAGCTCATTTGCAGAGCAAGGTCCACAGGATTTTTCTGGCAGTATGTAGGTGTGCAGGAATACAGTGTGCCAGGCCACTGCACTGCTGCTCTGTCACATCTTGGCTACAGTGTGGACACGCTACGGAAGGAACAGAGTGGACATAGTATACACGAATGTGTTTTTCCCAGGTTTGTTGCCCTGCTTTCTCTTTGGCATTATAATGAGTCCCTTGCAATCAGGGAAGGTAGTGAAACCTGTACCCCATTAGGTTTTGTCTTGAAAATCAAATCTTATAGTAAATTTACCGTATAACTTCTGAATTCCTTTCCTGTCGTCCTCTGAAAGTCTGAAGGTTGCTGGGTTCATGTATGAGTAGATAGGGTACATCAGAGCTCCACGGACATTTGAGTGAGCGAGTCCCAAAGAATGGCCAAATTCATGAGCAGCAACAAGGAACAAATTAACTTCTGCAGCACAGAAGCACAGAAAAGTATGTTAAAGGCATGCCATTTCTTTTTCACATACAAAGAATTGAAGTAGCAAGAGAATTTGTGTCTTTCATTCCCTTGGAATGAAACCTTGGAGTTTTGATCAGTTATTACTGAACTTTCTCATGTAACTATAGTATTTTGATAAAAACATTACTGATCCCTTGCATACGCATCTAGAGACCATGAGTCTCTTTCTGACTCTACTTTTAGTCAACCTTAATCCTACACGCATGTCATTTTACCTTTTCACAATTTATGTAGAAAGCAGAGGCTCACAGTCCTTGTTTAGCCTGTGAAAATATTTTTAAAATACGAATGAAACAGGCATTATGTAGCTTCTAACAACAATGAAGTACAAGTGCTTAGAAGGGTAGTTGAAAAGAACAGAAATGTTGGTACTGAAATGGTACTGAAGCATGAAGAGTTATGGAAGGCATGTCCTATGGGATCTTCTACCATGTACAATATTTGCCTTTCCCCTTCATACACACATATGGGTTTTACCTTGACTGAACTCCGACCACCTTTCATCTTCGTCAAAATGAGCATCTCCACCAAGCCCTTCCCCAGGTGCAAATGCATGAGCTAGTGTGTTACCTCTTCCGTCAAAAGGATATCCATCACCATGCTCTGCATTTGAAAAGAAATAAATGTCATCGGATGGTATCAGCTGTAATGTTTAAACGCAGCAAATTGAAGAGTGCTGCTTGTTTGTGCTAATTTTATTCGTTAGCAATCGTTAAAAAAATCCTATGATGGCTGCAATGTTGTAAAAATGAGGAACAAGGCTAGGAAACACTCTTCAAATTCATAACTGAAGTTCAAAACTTGTATTTGACAATTCAGGCTTCTACATGTTTCAAAAAGAGAAGAACATTTTTTCTGAGCTTCTGTCAGAAACGTGTGTCTGAGGCACCAATCAGGGATTATTTCAAAATAAATACTTGATGCTTGACAGCATTATAAGCACCCGAACGTTTTCAGTGTTGGGAAGTGCTGGGCAACATTTGTTGTAGACATTCTCACTTATACTGATTTTAGTGGAAGACGATGATTTGGGGTAGATAACCATGTTCCTGAAGAGCTGAGTTCATGTGTCCCCAGCCTTGGGGTACAATCTATTACCTATTTCTATGACTGCACATAGAATGTTACCGTTTCATACCTAGAGTGCAAGAGCTGACACGATGGTATATGCGTACCAGCTCTGAAAATTTCCCCCTACCTCTTAGTGAGCCTCTGACTTGACTGAGGAGTATTTGAGGACTCAGATGCCATTCTACGTCCTTTCCCCCAGACCGTGTGGATGAACCCTGGGGCAAGGCTATCACAGGCAGAAGAGTCCTAGTGTGTGATGAGAGATTAAAACCCATTCTAACTTGCAGGATCCTTTCTTACTTTGACTGGTACATTAGTCAAATCTTCATGGCAACATAATACACTTCCTGTCAGTGAAGCGTGAGCTTGGGACATTTTGGTGTTTGTATACAGTCATCTACTTGTAAGCCAGGTGTCTGATCTTCACTTACAGTCAATGGAGATCTAGTAAATTTTGTCAATGGATCTAGAGAACAAGTCAGCTAACCTTAAAGTAGGCAAACCTTAGTTTGGCTAAGTTGAGTCAGTTTAGGCTCCAGACACAAGGAAAAGGTATGGCTGCTTTCATGTATTAGTCTGGATTACAAGTGAGCTTCTGAAGTGACTCTACTGGTCATTTGCGTTTGCCATGCTTTCACTTGCACCTTGGTGCAATATTGGAGTGTACCAAAGGGAATCGTTCTAGAAGAAAATCAACAAAAAGATACTCTCTATGGCCAAACCTAACACACCTCAGCTGCCAAAGGTTGTTCAGTCCAGGGAACCAGACTAGATCTAGACCAAAGTAAACCTTTGTGAACATGCCTGAATCCAGCCTGCGAAGGCTGGATCTTCAGAACCAGCTCTTTTCCTCTACAGATCTGTTCCCATTAGTTTGCACAATTTATCTAGGCAGGCAGACCCTTGAACATCTAAATGAAGGCGTCTCATTCTGGAGCTGATTTCTTCCTCCATTTCACAGGTGCAACTCTGAAAGGATTTTCTAATTGTTTCATAGGAGTAAAACTGAATCATAATATATAAATTTGGTGGCATGATAAAGAGAATATAAAATTTGTACAGACTTCAGAATAATTCCAAACTCTTTGTTCTTTCTTAAAGCTGTGACGTAAAAATACATCCTTTGAGTCAAATGTAGACCACTGCATTTTAAAAAAGACAGGTATTCTCACCATGTCGTGCAAATCCAATCACAATGTCTGCATGTCTGTTGAACACTCTTTGGAATTTCAGAGGAGTTACGTCACTCCATACTGCAAAAGCCCTTCTAATTGCATCATCCACTTTCTTTTGGGGTAGATCAGGTGTATAATTGACAATCCTGGCAGTAAAAGGAAACAGATCAATGTCATCCAGGATGTGAATAAAACCCACATAGTTAAATACAAAGCAACCCCTTTCCCCAAAAAACCTGAAACATCACTAACTTGTAAGTCAGGTGTGTCTTTTTCCACCTTGGAGTTCCAGGAAATGTTTTGTAATCTGCTATATCGGGGACTCCACATCTGGGCTGTTTCATTGTTTCTTCTGTTTCTGCATTTAATTTTCCAGTTACAGTCAGGTGGAAAAACCTCTGCATTTCTTTAATCCTCTCTTCTAAGCTTAGGCTTGTTTTTGTAAGAAGTGGAAAGAATGTATCAAGATATGCCTGAAGAAGAAAAGGAAAATAAAAATTAATACGTACATCTGTGATCTTTTGGTAACTGCATTTTTCATTTGATTGAATTGTTTCATCATCCTGGAGTCATGGCTAGTTTTAGATGCACTTTTTCTTCTGTAGTTTAGATTAGCATATATAGAAGAGTTGAAATAACACCAAAACACTGGAAGCAAGGAACCCTTTTAAGTAAACACAATTCACTGACCATTCAAACCTGCAGCCTTCCAAAGTAGTATACATAACATTTTTTTGAAAAAATTACATGCTGTATTTACCAGTTGGAACTTAGTCTCTTTTGTAAGTGAGACTTAGATTATCTAAGCTAGTCAGCAAGTTTAAATTGTTTTATGTCACCTCTGCAAAAACAGTTGTTTTAATGTAAGATAAGAAGATAATGAAAACAGATAGGAAAGCACTGTAGAAGCTGAATCAAAAATCAAGTTATTCATAATGCAGTTACATTGTCCCCCGGTAACATACCTTTACATTCTCAGAGTCTGTGTTGTTCCATGATTCTGGTTTAGGTTGTACTGGAAAAGCAAGACTCTCAGGTAGGAGGATGGCAGCACAAAGTAGGAGGTATTGCATCGTGCCCAGCTTGCCGAGGAGCTTTGCTACAGCAGAAAGGGATTAGCCTTCTGTCTCCCAAGACCACAGCTAAAATGCTTATATAGATCCGGATAGCCTCAAGTGGCGACTTCATACGTGACTCACCTTTTGGTGGTGTTGACGTAATGTCATCACTATTCCAATGTAATGTAAATGAAAGCACATTAAGCAAGTCTTTCCTTTGACTTCCCTGTTCATGTCATGTCACAGCTAGCAGCCAGCTTTGGCTCTCTTTTCATGGTGTTCCAGTAGCGAAACCACAGGGTCATAGGGAAGTTCACTTTCCATAACTTCATCAGTACAGTTACTGTATAATCACTTCTCACAGCGCTTCCCCCAGGTTCCTTGTACACAACGGCATTTTGCAACAGCCTTTCGGTCAGACAGCCTGCCTGTATTAGTTGATGCAGAGGCAGAGATGAGATAGATTGGAGTGCTATCTCACTGAAACTACTGGCATTTCCTAGGGAGCATGCACAACACTGTCTAGGTAATTTTTCTGATTCAAATTATAGAATCATAGAATCATTAAGGTTGGAGAAGACCTCTAAGATCATCAAGTTCAACTGCCAACCTGACACCACCATGCCTACTAAACCATGTCCCGAAATGCGACATCTACAAGTTTTTTGAACACCTCCGGGGATGGCGATTCCACCACTTCCCTGGGAAGCCTGTTTCAATGCTTCAAAGCTCTTTCAGTGAAGAAATTTTTCCTATTATCCAATCTAAATCTTCCCTGATGCAGCTGGAGGCCATTTCCTCTCATCCTATCGCTAGTTACTTGGGAGAAGAGACCAACACCTGCCTCACTACAACCTCCTTTCAGGCAGTTGTAGAGAGCAATAAAGTCTCCCCTCAGCCTACTCTTCTGCAGGCTAAACAGCCCCAGTTCCCTCAGCTGTTCCTCGTAAGACTTGTTCTCTAGACCCTTCACCAGCCTTGTTGCCCTTCTCTGGACGCACTCCAGCACCTCATTGTCCTTCTTGGAGTGAGGGACCCAAAATGGAACACAGTACTCCAGGTGCGGCCTCACCAGTGCCCAGTACAGGGGCACGATCACCTCCCTGCTCCTGCTGGCCACACTATTTCTGATACCAGGCAGGATGCCGTTGGCCTTCTTCGCCCCCTGGGCACACTGCTGGTTCATATTCAGACGGCTGTTGACCAACACCTCAAGGTCCTTTCCCATCAGGCAGCTTTCCAGCCACTCTTCCCCAAGCCTGTAGCGTTGCATGGGGTTGTTGTGACCCAGGTGCAGGACCTGGCATCTTGTGAGGTATCCTACACTGCAGGAAATCCAGTTCAGTAAAGTTAGAGAGATTTCTGTTGGTTTTACAGAGATCAGAAGAGACCTCTTTAAATGTGCTCTCTAGAAAGAGGAGGCCATGGGGAGCCTTTGTCCCTTTCCTCCCAAATGAGATAGCCTTTCAGGAGAGTTTCTTTACATTGGAGAACTAGATATAAAGCATAATTTACAAGAATGGGTGAAAGCCCTCAGAAAAAAAGCAAGGAGCTTACCCTAACAAATGTGGAGTTATCTATCTCCAGCTGTACCAGTGCAACCTGACTGAGGTCCATGAAGCACCAGCAGAGAAAACTACGGCTGAGCAGGGCAGCCGCAACACCCATGGTCCGCTAAGACCAATGCTGGTCTCAGCTGCACTCCACCGAACCCCACTGGAAGTGATAGTATTTGAGGACTGGAAACACCAGTCCATGAGCTGGCTTGTGATTTTTTTCAGGCTGTGCAGTTTTGTGACCATATTACAGCTAATCCAAAACGAAAGGCGCATAAATGGGAGAAGACTGTTACTGTTTCTCACAATAAAATAGCTCATATGGGTATAGCTGAACATGGCTGGAAGAGTTTGTGGGTTACTGGCTTAAGTCCAATGTACTTCTGACTGATGTGACAAGAAAGACTTTGATTTCAGAGAGAGATGGTCTATACCAAAAAACAGCTGTATTATGCAGAAGAGGACTATGTTACACAGTAATGTCTGAAACAGTTGCTAAAGGAACGATGCTTCCATCTGATACTGAAAACAGCCCAGATACCCACCATGTGACCATTTCTGTACCTTTTGGTAGGCTTACAGGAAATCTATTGATGTCCAAATTTTAAAGCTTGATGAAAAAAAGCTGTTTTATTGTCAGAAGCAGGTTCGTCTTTTTCTTTCTCAAGAGCTGACTTCATGTCTGACTGTGGCAGTAAAGTAGGATCTGGACCAGAGTCTGAGTGGCAGGAGATGAGGATGTGTTTAAACCACACTGAACTCCATGACTTTACCATGTGGTCCTGGTTATTTCCTCATATACACAAGAGGAATTTGAAAGCCTTGGAGCCCCATTGTAGCTGACAGGCTATTGACCAGCTCGCATATAGTTTTCACTGGGCCATGGGCAAAACTGAAAAGGAGAGTTTAAACACAAGAGCTTGCTGAGAAAGGTCAGGCTTCATGTTCCATTTCATTTTCTGCTGGATATCTGTGAACTCCCCTCTTTCTTTTTCTTTGTCTTTTTTTCAGAAAAATCCAGAAGGTTTCACTGAACATTGGGCTTGAATTGAAATAAAAAACTTTCTGTGAAAAGATTTTTCATTTCTTTAGGCTCAAAATCAGCAAGAATCAATCCAATTCTGATAAGATCAAGATCAAAAGGAAACAGATGCTGATTTTTATATTTAGCTGTGTGAATTTTGCAGGCTTTATCTTTTTCTGTTGATCTTGAATGACAAAAACTGTTGTGGGTCAGAAAAAATAGTTTCCTGTCCAAACATCATAGTCAAATCATTGAGCAGAGAACATGTGCTAGAGAGTATGGCCTGTGTAGAAAAAGTTCAAAGAGATCATAAGAAGCGCTGTTAGAGACATTTAGTAAAAGAAGTTGCTGTAGCCACACAGTGAAAATAAAAGCACTTCATAACATAAAATTCTGCTAAGAAGACTCACAATATTACCACTGAAAGGCTTACTCTGTGACATTTTCTGAGGTTAGTAACCCTGCTGTGAACAAGGATGCTGCATGAAACTATGTCCTGTGCAGAACTCATTGATGGGCATCAGAGCTTTGGTGGTCTAGAGAAAAATACATATATAGAAACTAAGACCTGAACCTCCTTTGGACACGAGTGGGATGAAAAAGTGAAGTAAAGTGAAAAGTGAAGTGAAAGTGAAAAAGTGAAGTAGTGAATGATCACTGTTTCTTGGTCATTTGACTTGGACAGGAGGTTCAGCTGGATTCTGCCCAACTTGAATGCAGCCAACAGTGGAGTTAATGCAGGTCAAGCACTGCTCAAATGTCTTTGTGAATGTACTGGGTCTGGCTGGGATGGAGTTGACTGTCTTCATAGCAGCCCCTGTGGTGCTGTGTTTGGATTTGTGGCTAAACCGGTGTTGATAACACAGCAGTGTTTTGGTTATTGGTGAACAGTATTTGCACAGCATCAAGGCTTTCTCTGTTTTTCACTCAGTCGCCACAGTGTATGGAAGAGACTGGGTGGGCAGGAGGCTGGGAGGGGACACAGCCGGGACAGTTGACCCAAATTCTCCAAAAGGATATCCCATGTGATATAATGTCATGCTCAGCAATAAAACTGGGCTAGCAGAAGAAGGTGGAGTGAGGGTTCTCTTCCAAGGTAGTCATTGCCTGGAGACTAGCTGGACATCAATCTGCTTGCAGGAGGTGGTGAGCCTTTGCATCACTTCCCTCCTCCCCACCTTTCTTTCACTCATTAAACCATCTGTATCTCAATCCATGAGTTTTCTCTCTTCTGCACTTCCTAATCTCGCAACCTATCCCACTGTGGATGGGGAGTGAGCTAACAGCTGTGTGGGTGATTAGCTGCTGGCTGTGGTCTACCCACTGCAATGAATATCAAGCAAAAAGAATGGCCGAAAATCCCTGGGAAATGTATTGTTTGGTTCACTTGTGAATTATACAATATCGTATTTAAGCTTCTACCAAACTGCTTATACCTGGATTCTTATGGTCTACAGGACACCTGATTTGTTTTGTTCTGTTATTTGGTTATTCAGTTTGACTAACAAAAACCAAAATTCAAACATGGCAATTATTTCTGTAGAGTAAAATGTTTTTTTGCATTGCAATTTCTTGAGGCTAAGCCCAGTGAGGCGCTGTCTGCTTCAGAACCTTCCTGTTTTTTTCCACAAAAAGAACCTTCATCCTCTTTCTTGTCTCAGCTTCATGTGGCACACTCCATTTGGTTGCAAAATGGCCTCTGAGCAATGCAAATATAAGTCCCCTCAAGGTTGTTACGGACCATCTTTCTTTGCTGGGGCCTAGACTGTAGAGGAAGGCACATCTCCATGGCTTCTGCACTCAGTTTTCCATAGATTTTTACCCCTGAGAGGGCTCTTTTCAAAGGAGTCTCTTGGCACTGGTAATCCAGGGCTATGTATCCATTTTGCAGGCTGTGTGAGGTTAAAAATCTCCAGCCATCCCTGCCTGGGCACCGAGGTCCTGCCGAGGCCCCGTGGCACTGCAGAGAGAGGCAATCCAGTTCTTCCCTCCTGTTTAGCTGGATCAAGGTGCATCGAGCTGTTTCCCAGCAGGATCTACCTCATGTCCCATTGCTTTAGGGGAGGAAAGGCCTTAGGGAGAGACTAGATGTTCAGGTTCAGCACAAGAAACATAGCAAGAAGTAACACATCTATGTTACTAATAATTAAGCAATCAAACTTAACATATCTCAAGTTGTGGGTTTACCATCATCTTATGGTGTCTAACGCTGCTTTGCATTTAATGACTTTGTGTTTGGAGGAGTTTAATCAGGATATTGTGTGGGAAAAATATGTAATTATAGAGATAAGTTTTTACAACAGTAAACTTGACAATCAAACTTAACATATCTCAAGTTGTGGGTTTACCATCATCTTATGGTGTCTAACGCTGCTTTGCATTTAATGACTTTGTGTTTGGAGGAGTTTAATCAGGATATTGTGTGGGAAAAATAT